ATTTAAAAAATACAAAATAAAAAAATAAATAATAATAATAATAATAATAATAAATATTAAGTTTACAAAAAATAAATAAAACTGACAAAAACACAATAAAATGATTAAACTGAAATTAAAATGGAATCGGAAAACATAAAAAAAATAAAGCTATTTAAATATTAATACATTTCTATATATAAAATACTAATGATACTTAAGACATGGATGTACCTCTACGAGTCTTGAACGAAGAGCTTTCAGACGCGCCCGTATGGTTCTCATCATGGCAGAGAAGAGTATCTGATGCTCTTTTGGGTCTCCATCTGAAACTAATAAACATATATGTTATAAAACCCACTAGATCATACCGAAATCTCCTGCTCTGGAGCACATGCACTAACCGCCATACCATGGTTCAGATTCTCACCTGTTATTTCCTGTGAAGTCTCTGCCTGCGGTGGGAGTTTGACATTGGGCTCTGAAACCGGGTGTCTCGGACACCTTACTGGGTGTCCTGTTCACTTGAACAGGGCTGATTTGTATCGGTTGTTTGTTCATTTTAAAACTGAATACTCCACGTGCAGCTGCTTTGGGAATGTTATCTGAGCAGGTGCGTGTGCATGAGTCCGGTGAAAGATCCCCAGCACTGAGAGACGGCCTGACGGGTCTGCAATACAAAAATAAAACACAAATACAAAAAATAATATGTGCCGTTATGCAACTATTAATGATGTTTTTCTCTCTAAATGTGGCTCAGATCATTGTTACAACATAAATCAATATTTTTTTTTACCTGTTTTATCATCCGCTAGGAAAAAAAAATGCAAGTGTGGCTGCTCAAAAGATGCACAATTTAATAATTAGGGTTAGGAATTAATTTCGAATAACTAAGATTTGTTAATGTTTTTGAAAGAAGTCTCTTATGCTCACACAGCCTGCATTTATTTGATCAAAAATACAGTAAAAAAAAAAAAACAGTACTATTATGAAATATTATTACAATTAAAAATAACTGTTTTTTATTTGAATATATTTTAAAATGTAGTTTATTCCTGTGATCAAAGCTGAATTTAAGCATCATTACTCCAGTCTTCAGTGTCACATGATCCTTCAGAAATCAGTCTAATATGCTGATTTGATGCTCAAGAACCATTTCTTCTTATTTAATTATTAATTTATTTATTTATTTTTGTGGGAACACTACCATTCAGAAGTTTAAAAAAAATGCAAGGATGCATTAAATTCATTAAAAGTGACAGTAAAGACATTTATAACGTTACAAAAGTTTTATAAATTATATTAAATTATGAGTATTTTGATAAAAGCATCTGCTAAATGACTAAATGTAAATGTAAATAAATGCTCTTTAAACTTTCCATTCATCACAGAAGCTTGAAAAAAAATTGTATTATAGTTTTCATAAAAATATTAAGCAGCAATTTTCAACATTAATAACAAGAACCGTTAATAATAATTGAGCACCAATAATAACTGAGCCAGCATATTAATATAATTTCTGAAGGATCATGTGACAGTGAAGACTGGAGTAATGGTGCTGAAAATTCAGCTTTGCATCACAGGATTAAAATACAATTTAAAATATATTAAAATAGAAAAGTTATTTTAAATTGTAATATTTTTTCACAATATTACTGTTTTTACAGCATTTTTTTAATCAAATAAATGCAGCCTTGGAGAGCATAGACTCTTTCAAAAACATCAAAAAACTATTTAAAAAAAATCATAATTGCTCCAAACTTTGGAGCGGTAGTGTAACAGTGAAGCTGGTCTTAGCACACACCACTTACAACGTGAACAAGCAGCTCCATCTAGTGACAGTTTCCAAACTTTCAAAGCATCCAAAGCATGGTATTCTGAAGTCTCACCTCACTGATTCACTCCTCTGACCGTCTTTTAACATCATATTTCCATTAGAACTGCTTTTATGAGGCGTTCTTCCATTAAGAGTGACTGAACCCCACTGCCTCTGTGAGACAAGAAATATTTGAGTTGCTTTATATAAAGAGACTGTAATGGGACTAAATGGATAACATTTTATTGGCTGATTATACAGACATTTGTGTATTAGTGTAGATCAGGGGTCTCCAGACTCGGTCCTGGAGGGTCTGTGTCCTGCAGAGTTTAGCACAAACACACCTGAACCAGCTAATACTAGAAACATCCAGACAGGTGTGTTGAGGCAAGTTGGAGCTGAACTCTGCAGGACACCGGCCCTCCAGGAGACCCCTGGTGTAGATGATGCCATCATTACCTTGTATGAGTTGCTGTCCTGCAGTCGAGACAGTGGAGACTGCATGTCAAGACTGCATGAACCTGACGGCTGCTTCTTTTTGGGGATTCTGAACGGGACTGCCATCTACAACACACATTATATTAGTTAGGATATTGAAATTATAACATATTTTTTAAACATTTTACTTTTACACCAAGACAAATCAGCTTAATATACTATAGCAAACGTGTGTATTTTTGGAAATGTATTATTTTTTTTTTTTTAAATCTAAAGACTTGTAATTTGTATAAACAGGGTTTCTGCAGGTTTTATGAAGGTGAAGACTTTTTAAGACCAAGTAAAGACCATTTAAGGAATAAATGGACGGAATTAAGAAAAACCAAACATTAATAAATTAGTATGTTCTCAAGATGTAAATGTCTAGGAAGCACACAATGAGTTGTATTTCCAACAGATCTCCATTACTTTTTAGTTAATTTTACATACATACATATTCCACTAAAATATGGAAATAATCACTTTAACTGTACCTGCAAAACATACATTTACATGAGATGCAAACTAAAGATATGAAGTGTCTTGTTTTCTGAGGAATTGATCAAAATAAAGTGAAAAAATAATCATACCCCACCGACAGATATTTGTTTCATGTTTTAAGCAAAAACTCACTTCATCTTGTTCAATTTCTCAGAAAACAAGACTTCTTATCTTCATTCTCAAGTAAATCTTGATTTAAGAAAGTTTAGATATTTCTATTGGAAAACAAGACAAAAACACTGAAGTTTTTTTTTTTTTTTGCAGTGAATGCAACATTTAATGCCAATACTTTATGAATTTAAGACCTTTTTTAATGCCTTAATTTGTGCAAATTTGTGCACGTTTTAAGACCTTGATTAAACTATGTTTATATATATTTTAATTTATTTTTGTCTCTAAACCATAAATGTGTTTCTCTGAACTCAAACTATAATTGATATGGTTACATATGATGCAAAACATTATTATTAACATTACAGTATGCCAATTACTACAATGAATCAAAATAAAACAGACTAAAGTTTTAAAAATAAAATAAGATTATGGTTTTCATAAGTAAATAAATAGAAATATACAGATCTGCTACAATTTACACACACTTATTCGCAGTTTGATCTTTAAAAGGATAGTGTTCTAGTTACAAAATAATAATAATAATAATAATTATTATTATTAGAGTCATTGTGATATTGGCAGCCCAGATATTGTAAGTTCAGCATTTATTTTTATAAACCAATATGCACAATTTAAATCTTTCCAAGCAGCTCAGGTTGGGAATCTTTCTGTCTTCCATAATTATTATTCTTGCAAAATTTAATTGAGTATCTAGACTTCATTTGTAAGTGAACAGCAGTGACCAAAGCTGTGAAGAATATCAGAATAATCCTGTAAACGTCCTCAAAATGCTCATTTCACACAGGGTTGTGATTTTTAAGGCTGTTTAAATGTGTATACGTCTATCTGACTATCAATTCTGCTACAATCTCACTGACCTCTAATCAAACACAGGACATAAAACACCATGCTCGAGCTATAATCGTATATACTAGAAATAATAATTACAATATAAGTATCTAGAACCTCTAGAGATCATGAATGTGATTACTGTCAATCAGTTTAAACATTCAGCACTGGCTGCTGCACTCCAGGGCCATTACTATTACAGATCTGAGCTGATTTAAGCTTCTTAAACGCCATACTTACATCACACACCTGTCTGAGACTCGCTCTACGAATATCAGGCATGGGCTATAAACGGGTGAAGGCACTTCTAAATCATTCTGGTCAGCAGAACATCAATAAGTGCACTAGGAAGTGGGCATCCCTCTTTCTGTTTATGTGCGACGCTCGTTCCAGTTCTTCTTCTTTCGTCTGCAGTTTGGCGGTTGTCGGGTAAATAATCGGCATCGTTACAGCGCCATCTGGTGTACAGCAGGAATTACAGCTTGTGATCAAATCACGTGTTCAAAATACTGCGAAATAATAAAGCATCGTTTGCTTATCAGATTTTTTATGTAATTGACCCTTCGCTAAGCCACGCCCGAAAACCGCCACTGGCCAATCGTGGCTTAGCAACCGTAACTAGGCGCGGGAGGTCTCGCAAGCTTTCGCGCGAGGGAAACATGCCGAAGCGTTGTGCAAATCTGATACCCGGTATCCTAAAAGTTTGGACGGGGTGGTGGAATTTTTTCCCTTCCCGAAACCTAAAACCCAAGGGGAGAAATGCCGGGCGTGGATCAAGCAGTGTGGGAGGCCCCATTCACAACTAAATGTCGACAGGATTAACAAAAACACCTACGTTTGCTCCAAGGTAAGAACACGCCAATGTTAGCTAGCTAGCTAACTCAGCACAGCATTGCTTGGAAATAATGACGGTTCTTTGTTCATAATGCATATATTTGAACGTAAAATAAGATGATTAAAGGCAAGACGGAGGCTGACTGACATACTTAGGCGCGGGAGGTCTGGCAAGCTTTCGAGCGAGGGAAACATGCCGAAGCGTTGTGCGTATGGATTGTGCAAATTTGATACCCGGTATCCTAAAAGTTTGGACGGGGTGGTGGAATTTTTTCCCTTTCCGAAGCCTAAAACCCAAGGGGAGAAATGCCGGGCGTGGATCAAGCAGTGTGGGAGGCCCCATTCACAACTAAATGTCGACAGGATTAACAAAAACACCTACGTTTGCTCCAAGGTAAGAACACGCTAATGTTAGCTAGCTAGCTAACGCTGCACAGCATTGCTTGGAAATAATTACATTCTTTGTTCATAATGCATATATTTGAACATAAAATAACATGATTAAAGGCAAGACGGAGGCTGACTGACATACTTTAAAATATATTTCAGCATTTTGTTAATCGACGGCCTACCCCGGAGTACCCCAATCCGATCGCGGCTCTCCCGGGGTTACTTCTAAGGAGGGAACATCAGGGGGCTTGCCGGAGATCTCCGAGAAATCATTTCATTAACAGTAGTCACTTATGTGCTGTCATACCTGTTTACTACCGTGTAGACTTTATTTGGGCAGCGAGATTTATTACAGAACACAGCATGCTCTCATGCTTTATACAAAGTGCATTTTATTTGTTTCTGGTAAGAAACCAATACAGGATCAAAACCCCAACAAAACAACAGTGTAATAAAATTTAAGTTAAGTTATTAGAAGGGTTTGTTAAACTTTAATGATTTCATGAAGACAACTAAACAATTGTTAAACTGATTGTTTACTGAATCATGTGTGACAGGAAGCCAGCACCCGATCGCGGCTCTCCCGGGGTTAGTTCTAAGGAGGGAACATCAGGGGGCTTGCCGGAGATCTCCGAGAAATCATTTCATTAACAGTAGTCACTTATGTGCTGTCATACCTGTTTACTACCGTGTAGACTTTATTTGGGCAGCGAGATTTATTACAGAACACAGCATGCTCTCATGCTTTATACAAAGTGCATTTTATTTGTTTCTGGTAAGAAACCAATACAGGATCAAAACCCCAACAAAACAACAGTGTAATAAAATTGTATTCCATGGGGTTATCAAAAGTTAATTTATTAGAAGGGTTTGTTAAACTTGAATGATTTCATGAAGACAACTAAACAATTGTTAAACTGATTGTTTACTGAATCATGTGTGACAGGAAGCCAGCACCTCAAACTCCACCGAGGACACATTTCACAGTACATCACAACAGAGTGACTCTACCTATGGTAAGTTTAAACCGCTATTTGTATCTGTTTTTAGTTACTGATTGCAACTGGGAAGGAAGTAATCAAAGAAAAACTAATCTAATTTGTCTTTCATCTCACCCCACTTTTCTACATCTAAATGTATCCGCTGCAAGTGGTAGTCTTCTGCACACATTACAAAGAAGTCACACCAAGGCATGCCTGTGAGTCCCAGCTGCCCTATTATTTGGTAGTAATACGCGTGGGTCTCCTTTAGCTTGTAACCACCATCTGCCTGTCTTTGGAGATAGGGACAGTCTTGGCAGCTGTTCTTTGCTGGACATTTAATTTCCAAAAGGCCAAAGCTTGTACCATCTACGACCTTCCTGTCTGGGGATGTGCCAAGGTGTGGAGCATGGGGGTTCACTACAAAGTCGCAAGGGTATACCAGATTACCTGTTACGTTCGAGTACTGCTGCGCTGCCACAGGTTCTAGCTCTACCCCTCTCCTCATTGCTTTGGTCTGCATTTTGGATGTGCCCCTGATTCTCACAGCCAAGGTGTCAAAGTCAACTCTCCTAGAGCATATTGCCTTGAACACACTTGATGTTAGTCGGGGAGCCCAGGCAAGATGCCAGATGTGATTTGTATCTTGTTGTCTGGTCTCTCTTTCTAAAGCTAAAGACTGGGATGGTGTGATTGTCAATTTTCTGTAACTACACATGTTTTTTCATGCAGCACTGCACAGAAATTTGACAGCTGGGTTGGCAGAGGGAAATCCGGGAAGTCGTTTGACGGCTGGTTCGCAGATGATGGTCCTGCAGAGTCAAGGAGAGGAAGCTGTAAAACAGAAGAAAATAACATAAATTAGTAACATTCCATGTTTCCTTTCTCTTTTTTTGTCATTTACAGAAGAACATGATATGGGCGACCATGGAGAGCAACTGAGAACTCTGCAGGACGCATTAGCCAATCACAAGCAGGACATCATAAATCTGAAGCTTCAACTCGAGGCAAAGGATGGCCAACTCCATCATCTTCAAAAGGAACTTCAGTATTCTGCCTTTTTAATAAAGCAATTTTCTCCTCTGTAACTGAGAAGGTCCTAAAAAAGAATACCCTATCAATACAAAGGTAGGGGTTTTATATGACAAAACTTTGCTGTACTTGGAAACCTGCCTCTCTAATGTTATGGTTTGTATATTATAGTATTGTTTTATTTTCATTAGGCTATTGATTGAATTGACATTATTGTTTATTATTTCTATTCTCCTTAATGTAGTCTTACCAACATTTTAAAACTGTTCACTGTTAATTTTAACTATTGTATTGTTTTTATTTGTATGTCACTTTGGACAAAAGCGTCTGCCAAATCCCATAACTATAACCATAAACATAATTTTCAACTTACCTACTTCCTGCATACCGACAGTCGATTGGTCGCCGCATACGGTTTTCATTGGCTTTAGCGACAACTACCGATGATATTGGCACTGCCCTTATTTTGTTACCCCTTGGCTTGTGCCACTGCTGTGGTAGACTCATGCAGGAGGACTTTGTTTGTGTTGTTGATGATGTATGGCTCGGCTCAGCTCAGCATCTCTGGCTCTTGCCAGGTCCAAGGCATAGATTAGACCCACGACGTGTGAGCAGTAGCCTGGCGCACTAAAAATATAAGCGGGAGAATGTTATCATTGCAAAGTGTTCATGCTAATGTCTTGTGTTTGTTCCACAAGACTTATGGATAAGCTGTTTGATTTATAATTATTAGATTATTTTAAAATTTCACTTGCCCTGCTGTGCATGAACATAGCTGTTCCTCAATTTGTGTGTTTCCCATTTGAATGGTCAGCGTATGAGGCGGCTGCTGCTTGCGCTGGGACCTATAGGCTTTAGCTTCAATTTTGATGAAATTATTCTCTAATCGGTTGCATATTATGTCGTGGATATATCCCTCGAATGCATACTGCAGTCCCTTTTGTCTTGCTCTCTCAGATATTTCACCTGTTCGCCAAAAATTACTAATTATCTCCTTGGGAATGTCTGACACCGGTGCATACATACTGTAATAGACGTGCCAGGCGTGAAAACTTGACAGGCGTAGCAACAGTAACTAAGGAGGGCGGGACTTAGCGAAGGGTCAATTGGAGGTTATGTGCCTTGCTCAAGGGAACCACAGTTGTGGGTAATGAGAGTGGAAGAGAGTGCTGTTCATTCTCTCAACTGCTCCACACTTCAACAGCCTTCAACAAAAGTACAAATGTAAATAAAGAAACACTCACTCCAACAGAAATACAAATTTAAATCATTAAGACATTCCAACAGAAGTAAAAAACAAAGAATTGAAAAACCTCAACAGAAGTATGTACCATGTAGTATAAAATGACACAATTTCATCTATGATATGCCTGCTTTTGTGTGTGCAAGTGTTTGTATCCAACTATGTGCTTAAGTGTGCATAATGCAGTGGTTCTCGACCTTTTTTTCTGGGCCGCACTATGGTCCAAGTGCAAGTCTCACGGGCCGCACGCATATCATTTACATATTACGTCACCAATACAAACCATTCATTGAAATAAATAATTATACTCACCATTAATAAAACACCTGATGCTGTCAGGAGCTGACCAATTTTGTGAAATTCGGCTCGAAAGGAGTAACAGCACAATGAAGTTGCAGTCTGTAAGAGTAAGACGTGCACGGAAGTGTAAAAGTAGACCCTTCACAGTTTAGAATGATGTATCACTCTTACCTTTATGAGTAAAAATGATGGCGTATCCACTGAAAAA